GCAGCCCAGCCACGAGCGGAGCACGTCGCGCCGCCGCACGCAGTGCTGCGCCACGACGAAGAGCCCCAGCGCCACCGCCGTGGCCCCGTAGAGGCAGCCGAAGACGACGGCGAGGTGCCGCCGCTGCGACACGGCCATGGCGCCGAACGTCCAGAGCGCCACGTACAGGCAGTGCGTGGCGCCCAGCGCCCGGAGCTGCGCCGGCAGCGAGTACACGCCGTCCGCCTCCGGGCACGGCGGCACCGAGACGGAGCCCGAGTCGCTCGAGAGGTTCCCGCTGCCTCCCAGCCGCGGCGGCGGCGGCGGCTCCGCGACGTCCTCCTTGCGGCACCGCAGGCGCAGCGCGGCGCACAGGAGGTAAACCCAGGTGAGGAGCACGATGAAGGCCACGGGCACGTAGAAGGCGCCCAGGCTGGGCCGCCACACCAGCCAGCAGCTGCGCGGGAGCAAAGGGCGCCCGTGAGCGGGTCCCCGCGGCCGCGCGCTCCGCGGGGACGGGGCGCCCGCGCGGCCACACTCACTAGGGGTTGTTGTCGTGGTAGTTGTGGATGTTGACGGCCGCCGTGACGCCGCAGATGATGAGGGGTATCCCGCCCGCGATCAGGTAGAACCTGCAAGGGGAGGAGGCGGTGACGGCGGCGCCGTCCCGGCGGGACGCGCTGTGGCCGGCGCAAACATGGATCGCTGGGAAAGGGGCAAGGCCGGGAGCGTTTTCCACCGTGAAACACTGGGACAGGCGCAGGAAGGGGTTGGGGGAGCAGCAGGGATAGGGGCCAGGGGCTGCCCCGGGAGAACCGCGGCGGCTTCGGAACGCCGGGAGCATCTCTACCGTAGCATGGGCCGAGGGGCCGGCTGGGCACTGTCACCGTCCTGCTGCTGCGGCGCCTTCCACGTCACCTCCTTGTAGAGCAGCCGGGCCTGCACGGCCATCCAGAGCAGCGTGGACAGGGAGGAGTAGTGCAGGGCGATGCCCACCGCCTGGCACACCAGCACGTAGCCCGTGAGCGTGATGCCGCCCGCGAACACCGCCGCCGTCATGGCCATGTGGAAGCAGAGGTTGAGCAGCACGTGCCAGCCCTTGCGCGTGACACGGATGGCCCTGCAAGAGAGGGACACCCCCGTGAGCCCCTCGGGACACCCCCGTGAGTCCCCCGGGACACCCCGCGCGCCCGGGGGACGACAGCGAGGGAGATGGAGGGACGATCTTCCCATCGGGAGGGAGTCTTCCCATCGGGGAGGTGAGCAAGCGAGCGCCGAGCCGCGGCAAACGGGCAAGGATTGCTCGGGCCGCCCGGGAAAATAAACACGTTTTCGAAGCGAGCCGAAGTAAATAGGAACTTACTTGAAACGGGGTTGTAGATTAAGGGCCGATTCAGTGCGTAAATACTAACTAACTATAAAAGGAAGAGAGATTGAGCACCGGTTTTCTAACGAGGAGGAAAACATAGTACTTAGTGTAGGAAATTAGTTAATAGGGAATTAATTAATTCCCGATTAATTCCCTAGTGCATGTGATGTGGAGGTGGGCAAATAAATGCAGTGACAAAAGAGCTGGAAATCTTTGTGCTTTGGCCCACCGAGGAAAATGAAGCTGTTTTTTTAATTAAGTAAATAATAACATGCTTGAAAAGAGGATGGAGATTACAAGGACCCATTTAGTGCACAAATACTAACTGTAGAAGGAATGGAGAGTGAGGACCAGTTTTCTAGTCAGGAGGAAAACACAGGACTTAGAGTGGGAAATTAATTAATAATTAATAGGGAATTAAGCGTGCATATGATGTGGAGGTGAGCAAGTAAGAACAAGGAATATTTGTGTTGTGGGCCATCAAGTAACATAAATCTCTTTTAAAAAATAGATTATTTACCTATTTTTTTAAACTAAATAACCTTTTTAATAACTAACTTTAAAAAGGATGGAGCTTGAGAACCAATTCTCGGATCAGTTCGGGGCCTGCGGAGCTTGTGTGTCCTGTGTCTAATGGGTTGGTTGTTTCCTCCTGTCTCGTATCTAACGGGCTGGTTGTTTCCTCGTGTCCTTACAGGTGCTCCCGGCGCTCCCCAGGGCCTTCTCCACCCTCACCTCATCCCTGCTCGCCCCAGCAGCCGGAGCTGCCCTCCCGACCGCGGCTCTTGGTGCCGTGAGGACGAGGCCTCAGTGTCACCTCCGTGCCCTCCGTCCTGCCCACGCGCTGCCAGCAGCACCCCGGGGTGCTGCCTCCCGCCCCCGCCACGGACTCGCCGTGCGTGGAGCGGGGCCGCTCACCCGTGGTTGACGATGTAGGTGATGATGGTGGCGAAGAGGCAGAGCAGCAGCACGGCGGTGCACGCGTACATGGCGGGGTGCAGCGGCGCGCCGGGGCCGCGCGCCTCGCCGGGGAAGCCGCTCAGCTCCTGCGGCGCGGGGAGAGCCCGTGAGCAGCCCCGCGGCGGCGCCGCCCGCGCGGTGCCACCGCCAACCCGCCTACCATGAGCACGGCCACGTTGCTGAGGTGGCGGCACTGCAGCGAGGTGACGTTGGGCTCGCGCGCCGCGAGCCGGCAGCCCTCGGCGCTCCAGCCGCCCATGCCCTCCAGCACCTCGAAGTTCCAGGACGCGGCCACGGGGTCGGCGCCCTCGCCGCCGTGCCGCAGCGACACGGCCACCGGCTCCGTGAGGTTGCCCACGCCGCAGCCGGCTGCAAGCGCGCCGCCGTGAGCACCGGCCGCGCCGGCGCGGCGCCCTGCCCTCCGCGCGAGGACAACCCCCTCCCAGCGCTCCTTGGACACCGGGCACCATCCCAGCGCCGGGATGTGCCAGCGGGGTCCCCCCGAGCACCGCGTGCTCACCCGTCCCGGCGTAGATGACCGGCGTGGCCACGCTGCGGCGCTTGCCGTCGTCGGCCAGGCGGGACGAGTTGCCGGTGCTGCAGAAGAGCTTCCCGTTGCGGAAGACCAGGAGCTGCAGCTTGCAGGCGGCCGCGGGCGGCGCGGCGCCGCCGAAGAGCCCGGGCGGCAGCTGGATGGAGGCCAGCGCCACGCTGTTCTGCGGGGCACGGCGTGGGTGAGCGGCGGCGCCCGGCGCTGCCC